TGGTTGTGTGTTTGTGGTTGTGTGCTTGTGGTAGTGTGTTTGTGGTTATGTGTTTGTGTTTGTGGCTGTGTGTGTTTGTGGTTGTGTTTGTGGTTGGAATGTGGCTGTGTGTGGTTGTGTTTGCGTGTATGTGTTCGTGATTGTGGTTGTGGTTGTGTGCTGTGGTTGAGGTCCGGCAGGGACACTTGGGCCTGGAGCTCGCAGTTGAGGTCCGGCAGGGAACACTGGGCGTGGATGATCGTGGTTGAGGTCCGGCAGAGGAGAAGGAGGAGGAGATGGGGCTGACAGGTGGGGAAAAAGAAAGAAGAAGAAGAAGAAGACGAAGAAGAAGAAGAAGATAGGAGGACTTAAACGTAAAAGGCAAAGCGCAAGGCAAGGATAAGCCAGCAGGGGTGGAGTGGGGCTGAATATTGTAGGTTTGTTCATAATTGCAGGGGTGGCAGTCTAAAGGGGTACCCTTTGAACATAATTTTACTCTACTTCTTTGATAGGGTTTTAATAAGGGAATCTAAAGCTTTTGGCTAGCCAGTGTTTTTGGAAATCATAAAGATTCCACAAAAGAAGAAAAATAAAGAAGAAGACGAAGAAGAAGAAGAAGAAGATAGGAGGACTTAAACGTAAAAGGCAAAGCGCAAGGCAAGGATAAGCCAGCAGGGGTGGAGTGGGGCTGAATATTGTAGGTTTGTTTATAATTGCAGGGGTGGCAGTCTAAAGGGGTACCCTTTGAACATAATTTTACTCTATTTCTTTGATAGGGTTTCAATAAGGGAATCTAAAGCTTTTGGCTAGCCAAAGTGGTTGGAAATCTGATGGTCAAAGATAAAAACACAACAGAAAAAAAGAACATATCAAAAACTGAATTAAAGAAATAGAAACAACACATGTGAAAGCATTGTGTTGGCGGAATTAAAGGTAGTATTGCAAAATTTCTGGCAGGCCAAACAACTGTTTATTATTGTAGTGGTTTACAATTGATGAATGAAAATGTTTGTCCATTTTGGGGTCTGGATGTTGGCACAATTAAAAGTAGTATTGCGAATTTATGTCATGCCAATTTGGAGTTTACTATTGTAGCATGGTTTATTATTGGGAGGTTAACATTAATTACTGTCAAACTCAAACTCTTGAAGGATTTCAAGAATACTTTTACCCTTCAAATTCTCGCTTCTCACCAGCAGCTTTGCTGCTTTCGCATTGAAAGGCGTGTCCGAAGTCTGAAGTGAAAAGAACCACCAAACGAGTCTTTCCGAGGTCAGCTGTGAAAGAGCTGATCGCTTTGTACACCTTTGAGCTCACATGAGCCGTTCAGCAAAGTGACCTTCCATAGCTTCACTTGCCCATCCTGCGCTCTCATTCTGACTGGGAGTTCCATGATGAGTTCGTAACCACGTGACTTGCTCACAGCTCTACAACCACTGGAGTTTCCAATTTCATCATATCTTGACTAGTCAAGTCTGCCTCACCACTCTAGCGATATTGGTGATCCGATCGCGCATGGCCTGCATCTTGGCTGAATCTTACAGAATATTGCATGGGAGCTCATAAGCTGAGATCATGTGATGAGTCAATGATGCATCTGCGTGCAAGGCACGCCTGATCCATCGGTGGCCCTTTGCCCCGCTCATGCATCTCCAGGTGCCTGTGGCTGAAGGGTTGCTCAGGTTGGTGTTCAAGACATGCTGAAGGACGATTTGTGTGCCGAGGCACTTGATTATCTGATCGCACCTGTACCAGCCAATACCAGTATTTCCTCAGAAGTGAACATAATAAATACTCCAGATGTGCTGAACAAAGTTCAAATGGAATTGTATTCTGAGAATGCGACTCTTCAGCTCCATTCGCAATTGTTTTTTTGGATCGAGAAGCATGCCTTTCTCCTGGCATGGTTTCATGTCCCCCTGAAAGCTTGCAAAACTTTCTCGCATCTTTTCTTTAGGCGGATATGCTTTTTTATGTGTTTTTTGCTCTTTCTTCCTGTTTATGTGTTGCCTTTCTGTGTTTCGTTTTTTTCGTTGTTTCCGAGTGCGTAGCGAAGGGTTCTCGTTTAATTCTAGGGATCTGGGGATGCGTGACGTTGCTTTCATGTCGCAATCATCCGCAACAGCAACCGATCGAATGAGAACAATAAAGGCCCTGCCGGTGGGTGAATCTTTTGGACGAGGTCATCGATGGAAGCATGAAGTGTCAGATTCCTTTCGCAGAACGTAACATGTTCGGGCACCGTGTTTCATGAGATCGGCAATTTGCATCGCTGCGCCATTGGGATTGGCCTTCTCATTTGCTCTGGATTTGCTTGCCTCGAAGCTGTGGTTCGGGACATGTCTCAGCTAAAATTGCCAATTGAAAGGATCTGCGCGACGTTCGGTGCAGGTGAATGTCGCTGTGCCGTTGGGATTGGCGTGTCAGCCGCTGGGGATTGAATTACGACACTGATTGGCAGGGCTGGTTGCTTTGATGAGAATATCACTCCGCACTTTTGGAGGGTGTCTTGTACGCAACGGTCTGATGGCTTGACGAGTTTCTTTTGGAGGAAGTCGAAATGCTCGTTTTGAAGGCTTGACGTTTCAGCGGTGACTAGAGCGTACCACAAGAGTGTCTTACGGCGAAGTCACGTCTGCGTGATGTCGCTGCGCCACGCGGTTTGGTCCGGTTTGGCGCGGCCTCAGCGGAATTTACGTGGCTGGGCAATGGGAAGCATGCGTGTGTAAACGCGGCGTGCCGCTGTTGAGCGCGATGATGTGTGGTGTCAGTGGTGTCAAACAGGCTGGGCGCCGCATCGTGCATCTGGTGTGTGGCACACGGTGTGGCAAAATTACGTGTCTTACAAGAGTGTCCAGCAAGATTGCTCGACAAGAGTGTCCTGCAACGGTGTTGCAACACAGTGTCAAGGCAAAGTATCGCGCAAACGTGTCCTACACAAGTGCCCTACAAGTGTGCGTTCACAAGAGTGTCCCACAAGTGTGTTCTACAAGAGTGTCCCACAAGATTGTGCGACAAGAGTGTCACCACAGACCATCTAAAGTGTCTTTGACGAGTGTGCAGCAAGGAGGGAGAGAGAGAGAGAGAGTACAGGCAAGGTTTGGTTGCTTGTGTGTTCATTCGGGTTCGTCGGCTCCATTTATATGTTTTTAATAGACCGTCTTTGTTTTTGACCTGTTCTTTTTCTTTTCTCTTTAGACACTAGTAGCTGGAAGCTATTAGGTTGGAGGCCATCGCTATTTATTAGGTTGGAGGCCATTACTACCAGTAGCAAGAAGCTATTTAGACGCTGTTTCTGTCCCCTCAAAAGCTCGCAAAGCTCCCTCCCAGGCTCGCTCCCGAGGCCGGGAGGCGAAACATGCGCTTTTCTTCCAATGAAGCTCGGTCAAGCCTCTTGCGATCTACGAGCTCGTTCAGCTGCTTTGCGAGCAGCCTTTTTGGATTCCTGGTAGACATTGCATAAAAGCAATTTTTGATAGTTGGATTGTGTCTGTCTCTGATAGGAAACTCAAGCAAACAAATCCAATTCTGGCACTGTCATGCACTTTCATCGACTTGGTTTTCGAGTCCAATGAGATTGCTTTGGAGACCCCTTGGGGACGTCACACGGTAAGCAGCACTGCGCTTCACTCCGTAAGGAACCATGGGGTACCTTGGTGCATGGCTGCCAAACGTGGCAAGACCTTTGAAGTTCCGTTGCGAAACATAAAGGGAAAAAGAGAAAGCATAAAGAACTTGTCGAAAGGAACAAAGAAAAGGAAGAAAGGAAAACAAGTCCAAAGAAAAGGTGAAAAACCGCACAAACAAACTAAAGAACTTTGGTCTGCAGTCTGTGTATATGCAAACTTCTTGCATATCTGCATATCACGCCTTACTTAGGTCAAGCTGCGGTGCAAATGTCGATCGTTGTACAGGTGGACCGCTTGGCCGATTGTAGCCGCCGAATGGTCTCACCTGTCTAAACTGCAAAAAGACTCTCTTATGCTTCTGCCGTCTGAACTACACAAAGTTGTCTCTTTGCATCTTTTGTCCGTTTCTGCCAACCTGCATCCAAGGCATTCCAGCTGATGGGCGACATGGCTGCAGTGCACCTCAGACCACATGCAAGCCAAAGCCCCATGTATGACATGGAGAAGAATGGAAGCAGGTTTGTTAGCAAATGCTCTATTCTCCCCAGGCGACCATTGCCACCATCCAGATCGTTTGCACAATTTTTGGCATCTAAACATACTTCAACAAGTGGCACAGCTGAGCACGTGGCTTCTGCTGGCACTGGCAGAGGCAAGAACCTGGACTTGACGCAAAATGTGGGACTCGACCAGTCCGAGATCCTGAAATCCAAAGCACAACAAAGCACACAGTAAGCACACATTGTTTTTCAGTGCTTTTCATTGCTTTTCAAGCGCCTCTGTCACAGGCGCCGCAGCAATCCTTGCAACACTCAACTGCCTGTAACGTGCCGATCGAATGGTGGAGCGTCCAGAGCGCCTCCAACCTAATAGCGATGGCCTCCAACCTAATAGCGCGCCTCAGAGGTAGAAGCAAGGCCATGAAAGACTACTTCGATTTAGTTATGTTGATATCACGGACACCTACTGCCTGCCTGCCGACCTACCTACCGAGCTACCGACCTGCGTGCCTACCTACCTGATACTTCTTTACTCTGCAAGACGCAAGACCTACATTGAATTGTGAACAAACTCCTCGGCGCTTGCTATGCTACACTACAATCTACAGTATACTGTACGACAGTCGTTGGGCTGAAGCCAAACCAGTGCAAATGCGGTCCGCTGTTTAAAGTTCAAAGGGCAAATCACGCGCTCGATCCTGGTTTCATTTGCAAGCTGTGTGACTTGGCTGGCCCAGCTTTTGCAATTCAGCAAATGTGGAATTCTGTATGTGCTGCTTACATTCGATTCCCAAGACTCACTTGGGATATTCTTGGAGGCCAGAACGGCCAGCTGTGAGACATGGAATTCAGTGAAACTCAATCGGCCTACATAGAGACTTGACAGGAATCTAATCATGCTGCTGTTCATATTTAGGTGGTGCTGAGATCTGGCTCGAACCTAAGATTCTGCACACTCGATACATTGCCTGGCAAAATTTATGAATCCCAGGTCTTGAAAAGTCAAACGTGAAAGATTGGACATCCAAATCTGCTTCGAAGGCACACTCGGTTGCATGTGTCGTTCACTTTCTGCAAGCGATCCTGGAATGGGTTCTCGAGGCATGTCAACATTGCAAGCTGCACACTCTCTGCTGCTACATACTGGTTATGACAAAGTGCAAGGTGTGTCTGGAACCTGGCCTGGATGCTTGGGGCACCAGTCTCAGACGGAACATCCGCCACAGAATCTTCGACCTTCTGGACAAGGACTGTTGAAAACCCACAAAAACATGATGTGTGGGCAGCCAATGCACTTGACTCACCAAATGTTGCAAGCAACTTGCACGCCGCATCCAAACGCACAAGTTTTCCTGATCGCAGCATGATGGAGGAATGCAAAAGGCCGGACATCTTCACACTTCCAGAACCTGGGATAGGTGTGCAGTGTTCATATTGGACTCGCCCTGCAAAAAATTGCTGCCACTTCTCTTCCCCCTTTCTCTCCATCTCCCTCCCTGGCCTGCATTTTGCCTTGGAGACCATCTAAAATCAGTGTATTGCCTCAGAAACACTGCAAAGAGCTGCGCTTCAACAAAGCACCGCATATCCGAGCCCAAAACAGAGCGGTGAATATTGCTTCGCCACAAGTTTCACAACCTACATCACCCACGTGACACGACGTCGAAGTATCCACTTCTCTATGCCTGTTCTTTGGAACGAGTAGTGTGCTCGCAGGCGCATATATGTATGTATATATATAATACCATCCCTGAGAAAGGAGGGGACGAAAGCCAGCCAACGTAAAAGATATCAATATGGTCCTGGGGGGTGAGTGCGGGATCCCTGGTGAGTTCCCCACTTCTTTTCCTCCCCCGCCATGCCTGTCTCATCCAACTGAACTCCCACTCCATATGGGGTGCCCTTTTGCGTCTGGTCAACAGGCGTTTTCATCATAAAAATAAGGCACCCCCAAGCATCAAAGTTTGCCCGCTGCATTCTGTTCTCTCTACTGCCCTCAACGGACCGCATCATTACATGAACTCGCACCCCGTATAGTATGGGCTGCCCTTTTGCGCATGGTTAGGGGGCGTCTTCCTCATAAAAAAAGTGCACCCCCGAGAACTTCAAGGATTTCTTGCGATCGGTCTTTGCCAAC